AATGCTCCAGGCACCTTCCAAACAGAGATGCATCGCATACTCAGACCTTACCTGGACAAGTTCGTAGTTGTGTACCTAGATGATATCTTGGTATTTAGTCATTCTGTCCAGGAGCATGCGGAGCATCTGGCTCTGGTCCTCCAGGCCGTACGTAACAACCAGTACAAGAACAACAAAGAGAAGTCCTCTTTTGGGGTCCCCTCTGTAGTCTACCTCGGTCATGTCATTTCAAGAAAGGGGTTGGCTCCTGAGCGCGACCTGCCAACATTCGTGATGTCCGGTTATTCTTGGGGCTTGCATCATATTACAGGAAGTTCATTCAGAACTTCTCTTCTATTCCAGCTCCCTTGACTGATCTCACAAAGAAAGGCACTTCCTTTCTTTGGACATCAGAATGTCAGGAGGCTTTCACACGTCTCAAGGAGGCCTTGATTCATGCCCCTGTCTTGAAGCTACCTGACCCTACCCTGCCTTTTGTGCTTACTGCTGATGCTAGTCAATATGGTGTAGGGGCGATACTTCAACAGGATGATGGGAATGGTTTGCAGCCTATTGAACATATGAGCAAGAAGATCAAAACAAGAAGCTGCACGATTCCACCTCTGAGAAAGAGCTACATGCTCTTGTGTCAGCGCTCAAGCATTGGAAACACTCTCCTGGGTAGGCACTTCAAGATCTTTTCACATCACTCCACCCTTCAGAGGATGAAGTCCCAGGGAGAGTTGAATGACAAGCTTGCTCACTACATACAGTTCATCAACATGTTTGACTTTGAACCGAGACACAAGAAGGGCTGCTACAATCGTGTGGCAGATGCCCTTTCTCGTGGGCCTGACGCTCTTTTCCTGATCTCCTTCACTCACTCATTTGGAGAGAGGACTCGTCAGACCGTTGCCCGTTTGCTGCCCCAGGATGAGATCTTTGGGCCTATTCTGAGGAATCTCCAGGACGATCCTGCCTCTGAACCAAGATATACACTGGTCTTGGGTCTGTTGTACACATGCAGCAGAGGTGAGGAGCGTCTGTGCATTCCCCAGGACCGCAAGCTGAGGACACTTCAGATGTCAAAGTGCCATGATGCTCGTGGTCACTTTGGTGCCCTCAAATCTTACGCAGCCCTGTCACAACGCTTCTTCTGGAAGGAGATAAGGAGTGACATGCTGCAATATGTGGAAAAATGTGAGTTATGCCAAAGGAACAAGGTGGTACGTCGACCTCCCCTTAACCTACTCAAACCACTACCTATCCCTGATGCCCCTGCACAGTCAGTGTCCATTGATTTCATTGACTTGGGTACTACTACTCCACGAGGTATGCGTCAGGTCATGGTATGTGTGGATCGGTTCTCCAAATATGCAGATTTCATCCCCTTACCAGCTGAGGCTCGAGTGTCAGCCGTCCAGGCGGCGTTTGCTAACAGGTGGGTTACTCATCATGGACCACCCACCTCTATCGTCAGTGACAGAGATCCCCGATTTTGCAGCAGTGAATGGCAATCCTACTGCAAGGATTACCTTCATTCCAGATTGGATATGACATTTGGTTGTCATCCTAAGCCAATGGATAGGCTGAAGTGATGAACCAGATTCTATTCCAATTGCTGCATCATGTGATCAGTCCAGATCCGCAGGACTGGGATCTCCATTTTAGTCGTGCACAGCTTGTGTATAACACGTTTGTACACTCCTCTACTGGCTTCACACCCTACCGGTTGCACAGGGGTCGTGAGCCACGTCAGCCTCTCAATGACATTATCGACAAGGCTACCCCTACTGCAAGGATTACCTTCATTCCAGATTGGATATGATATTTGGTCGTCATCCTAAGCTATGTTGCACGCCCGGCGGCGGCCTAGGCCGATGACCGAATCGGCCCGGTTCGGCCTAGGCCGACCTGCCGAGTTCGGTGCAGTATTTTTTTTCCCCATTTTTTACGTGTAAAAAAAAAATAAAAAATATGGGCGTGTAGGGTTGGAAAAGCCCTACACGCCCATTTTTTTTTTGGGGGTGTCCGACCTTCGACGCAGCGCAGAAAAATAAAAACAAAAAAAAATCAAAAAAAAAAAAAAAAAAGGCCCGGTGGGCCATTTTGGCCCTGTTTTGGTGCCAGCGAGTGAGGGGCACCGTGTGGGCAGTGGGCAGTGCGGGGAGGGCGGTGGGTCCAGGCCCAGGCCACGGCAAAACTGTTGCCGTTTCACATAAATGTTGCCATTTATCTGAAACGGCAACAGTTGTTGCTGTTGCCGTTATGCTGCCGAAATGCCTGCTCAGTGCTCACCACTCTGAGAGAGAGAGAGAGAGGGAGACTCTTGCGAGAGAGAGAGAGAGAGAGAGAGAGAGAGAGAGAGAGAGAGAGAGAGAGAGACTCTTGAGAAAGAGAGAGAGAGAGAGA